ACTTGCCTCCAGTAGTTTATTCTGGGTTAACCTGCATCACATCATTGGATGACAGTTACCTACGCTGCATGAATCATCATTTTATTTCACAGCATGTCTTGATATCAGTTGATATACCATCATCTACCTAATAAATGTACGCATAGTAATAATACAAGGGCATGTTTTTGATCTCATTCATGTAAACTCTGAATTCCCCTCTCTACTGTATTGGGACGTGTTCAGAGACAGAACATGTTTTTCTGTTGATTAATTCACTATTGCTTTGAGTATGACCCACATAATGTGTACCTGCGAGTGTATGAAATGTGCAGCTACCTTTTTTATCCTTCTGCATATAAAAAAAACATTACCATTCAATGCTAAGCAATTCTCCTCACCAAATTAAAATTGGAACATAATCAGTGAACCGTTAAAGACCCCAGCTCACAGCCTCGTACACTCTGCCTGCCTGTGAGTGTGTGTGTGTGTCACTGGTTATCCTCTCCTCTGTGCATGTCTGTCTGCCCCTCAGTGGGGAAACCATGGAAGGACATTTTGGTCTGGTTTGAAGGGGAGAGCTCGGTCGTGACACACATTTCGGTTGGTTATTAGTAGCTAACTGGGTCTCGTGGTAGGTTTTGTTTATCCGGAGGGGAGACTTTAGAGTATTTTAGATGAATGAGAAGAGGAACAGGGGGACAAGAAAAGAGAAATACGGGGTGTGGGAGAGATTGTTTTTGTGTGTCTGACGGAGACCCAGTTGGTGTTTTTATAGAGTCACAGTGGACGTGTAAACTCACAAAAAAAAAAGATCACATTTTGCCTGCAGCTGTTGCCAAGGGTTCAAACATCCTTCTGATTCTGCAAGGCTGCCAGAGCTACAGCTGAAATGAATATAAATAAATACTTGAGGATTCAATTGTTTTGATCTGTGCAAAATGTCCTGAATGGATTTTTTAAATTGACTCGACATTGTTTCTACATGCACAGCAATTGTTTTCCACCGTTGCTTCGTATGCAATTACCTCATGCAGATCTTTCTTCCGCCTCCCTCCTCTGTTTTATTTTCGATTTGGATGCTGTGCTTTTATGATATGGTTTATCTAACCCCCTCCACCTCTTCTCACCACATCCCCCCTGTTTTGATGCATTAGCCTTCAGGCCCAGTGTAGGTGGTGTAGGGGGTTTCTCTGTGTGGGTGGATCTATTTCCTGTCAGTCACCACTTGCTATTTGACCTTGCACCTTTATACTCTCCTTCCTCTGCCTTCTTCTTTCTTTCTTTCTGGAGGCGTTTCCGAACAAGTCAGAGCTCACAAAGATTTCTACACAGCAGAGAGAGGAAAGGAGGTGATTTCGATTGCATTGTTCGGCTTGTATCTGGTTAGAAATCTGGTGTAAAAGTATTAAATAAGGAGAAAATGTAATCTTGGAAAAGATAATTCTATGAATGACAGTATTGACATGAAGAACAGGTGAAATCTGTTGAGATTTATTACATTGTAGGCAAACATTTCAACATTTTGGCTTATGTTAGCTGAATTCTGTAATAATAATAAAGTTCAGTCCAGGTTGACAATGTGGTGTTGATTTTGTTTAGATGTGCTTAATTTGGGCAAACTGCACTTTCAGAAGATGTGTGTACTGTTTATGCTGCTGAACACTAGAGGGCAGCAGAGTACAGAGAATGAGTGAAATCCAGCTGCACTACAGAGCACACACTGCTCATTATTTCTCCTTTTTATTATATTATACATGACAGCACATGCATTGAAGTTTATGACTTTCTATAGTAACCTAATTTAAGGAAAACTTGGTGAATGTTAATGTCACTTGTGCATGTCATGTTCAAGACAATATAGGGGCAGTTCAATTCAGATGAAAGCTGGTCAATCTGCTTCCCTTTTGCAAATCTATTAAAAAAACTATTTATATCAAAATGTTACCCTTCAATTAAACATATCAGTATCATTTCCTATGTTTTGGTTATTCTGTAACCTTACAGTCCATCTCTATTCTAGATGCTGTCTTTGCGTTGCCTGTTTTTGTCGGTGTATTGAGACACACTGTGGAGGTCAAAGAGGCCAATGAGATTGATGCAGTGATTGGTGTTGTTGCACCCAGGGGAGCTGCAGCAGTGAGATGCATGGACCCAGGAGAAGATGAGAGATAAGAGACTGACCCAGGCGGCATGATCTCAGGGGCGTCTGAACACATGAGGGTTTAGAAAAGTTTTACATTCAGTGTGAAATTACAATTATTCAATTGTTCTTTATTTCTGGAATGAGTGATGATAGATTCAATTTGATTGCTACTACCAACAATGACAATAATAGTAATCCCCATATTTATTTTTATTTATAAGTGATTTCAGTATGGATTATTTTGCTGATTTATTTCTCTATTGATTCTTTAATTTCTATAATGTCATCAAATGTAATCATCAAAATGATTTCGAACTCATTCCAGCTCTGATTATAGCTTCTACTACTTGGCTTAAATAACCATGTTGCACTTATTCAACATCTTCTTTATTGTGCGTGTGATTTATTGTTTTGGTGGTGGTTCTTCTATCCTGGCTGTATGTGTATGGCATAGTGCCTGGAAAACGGTGGAAAACCTCCAAATATCGGCCACTTCTAGAGTTCACCGGCCAACTCTGTTTTATTGAAGTAAACGTGATTTTTTTTTGTTGCCTGTAAAACGGTGTTTGAAATATAGTACACCTTGGCAGTGGCTTTTACTACGAGTTTGGCTATGGGAGTTTCTTTGGCAATCAGACTGTGAGTGGAGTTTTATCAATGAACGCATTTCTGAAATGGCGGTAAAACTGGCTGCTATAGTACAATATTTATTGCACAATTAAGTAGGTTTTTTCAAGTAACATTTGTATTGAGCTGCGGGGAATTCAAGTTGTGAATTGATGGATTGCAATTTCCTGTTTATTCATCATGCAAATCCTTCAATTTTTTTAATATCTTTTCAAAATAGCTGTTTTTTGTGTGTTATTTGCACAGATGCCCTGTTCCTCTCCATGCGTCTCCTGCACACACCCCCTTCTCCCCCATTCCCAATCTCTCTTTTTTACCTCTCCACGCTCCTTATCCATCCATCCTGTCCCCCCTGAAGCCACACCATTGGCCCTCGCCTAGCAACCGCATGATAATTTGGCATAATGTGACACCCCCTGATGCATGATGGGGGCTGTAAGTCAGCCTCATCCCCCCTTCATGCCAGTGGCTGGTGTTTGGGGTTGAAAAATGGGGAGATGAATATATTTGAGGAGGAGAAAAGGGAATTTCACGCTCACATCATAACATGACTGGTGTCCACCGGCTAAACCTGTCATCTGTCCCCGGAGAGTTGTTCTCTTTCTTCATAGCAGCAGTGACCGATCATGTCCTCTCTTTCCCAGCTTTTCCCCATACGGTCCCCATGTACTCTATATGTACGGTGCACATTTAGTGGGAAGCAGACAGGCATGTGATGAAGCAGCCTCTCGGTATCGACAGGACCCAGCCAGGCTCATAGGTGCCTCTGACACGCAGGCAGGCTGGGAGAGAAAAATAAAGATGGCCGCTGCGTGCTCCGTCTGTCTCCATGCTGCCATGTGTGACGTGAGCACGGCTGATGTGAAGGGCATCCTTAAATGAGACGTCTTGTGTTTCTCCTTCCTCCTCTCGTCATCACAGAAAACAAACCTTTTGTCTCTCCCTCTCTCTGTAGTTCTTCACCTGTTTCTCCCTCCTCCTCCTCTGTCCCTCATTTTTCCACAAAGACTCGAGTAATTTGGTGAAACAAAAGCTCCACTGGTCATGTTTGACCTCTCCATCGTGGTGTCAATGGACCCAGATGGTGGGATGACCACCACAGAAGCACAGTGTGGACTCAGGGAAATAGGCATTTATCTCGTAAATTAAAAAGAGCTGTCCTGTCTTTAAATCATTAATTTATTCATTATTAAATTCCTAATCTGGATTGTTTTTGGTTTGGTTTCCCATTTATTTGGTTTTTTCATTCATTCATTTTCAGGTGTGAGCATCTGAATAAGCAAAAGCACATTGTCCAAGAGGCAATTAAACTGGTAATAATGAATATTATCGCGCTACCACTTCCTTTCTTTGTGTGCGTGTGTGTTTGTGTGTTTGTATGTGTGTATGTGTGTATGTGTGTGAGAGATATTCGTGTGAATTCGCCATCAGGACCGTCCAATCTATCCTCCATCCCCTCTTCGCCTTTACCCATGTCCTTTGCATGTTTCTCCCCATCCCTGTCCTGTCACTTGGCCATCACCAGCTGGTAACCTGTGTATGTGTGTGTGATAGTACATAGGTGGGGGGTTTTAAACACCTACACACACACACACACACACACACACACACACACACACACACACACACACAACACACACAACACACACACACACACACACACACACACACACACACACACACACACACACACACACACACACACACACACACGCACACACACACTCACCCCTTCTGCTGTTGCTCCCCACCACTATTTCCTTCCTTGCTTCATTCATGCCTTCACACACACAATTTATCTTTTTCTCACACACACAATTTATCTTTTTCTCACACACACAATTTATCTTGTTCTCACACACACACACACACACACACACACACACACACACACACACACACACACACACACACACACACACACACACACACACACACACACACACACACACACACACACACACACGTCTGCATGGTGGAGCACCAGCCGAGGAGCAGCAGCAGGAACCAGAGCAGAGAGAGAGAGAGAGAGAGACGAGGAGACAGAGAAACATTTAGGAGGACGGACTGAAACAGAGCGTGGTTGCCGTAGTAACAGCTCCCCTCCCTCCCCTCCATTCTCTCCCATTCTCTCCCTCTCTCTCCCTCTCTCTCCCTCTCTCTCCTCCCTCCACCTCTGTGCTGGTGATGCTCGTGTCTCTTTTCTCTCCATCCGGTTTGTCCTCACCTCTCCTGGACGCGCTCCTCTCACACTGCCAGCGGATGACACTAGAGGAGGAGGAGGAGAAGGAGGAGATGAGGAGAAGCTGCCGTCTCCACTCTTCCGGCTTAACATTACTTTTAAAAAAAAAAGAATAAAAAAAAAGAAGAAGAAGAGAGGAAAAGCAGAACAGAGAAACAACCAAAAGGATATACATACCAATGTAAAAGATACCCTACTCTTCTCCATTCCCCTTCTCAAGGAGGGCATTTTTCTTCCCTTTCCCCCCCTTTCCTTTTCTACCCAAATTTTTACCTCTGAGATCCCGGTTTTGTCAATTAGAGTCTCTGAACTTCTCTGGGATTTCAGGTGAGGCACGCGTGTGTGGTGTGTGGTGCGCCTTCATATTTTTGATTGCCTATCATGGCTCACGCGGCCTCTCAATTGAAGAAGAATCGGGGGGAAGTGGATGTGAATGCATTAGAGGACGAGAAGGAGAAGCGGAAGAAGATCAGGAGAGCAGCGTCCCGGGAACAAAAGAGAAAGGTAACGGACGAGGGCTGGCTGGTGGCTTCATCTGCTCCGCTAGCAGCATTGGAGCGTGACCGTGTGTGTGTGTGTGTGTGTGTGTGTGTTACATCTCCCTCAGCTTCACTACCTACATCTACTGAGCTCAGAGGTTGCCTTGTCACACAAACATACATTCGTGTACGTTTTTAAATCTGCGTATAAATCACGTGGAGTCTCTTCTTTCTTCTGACACCCGTCCGTCTTACAGAGCGTCTTTGACCTTGTGTAGTGAGTGTGTGTGTTTCCTCATGTGGAAGTCTCTGTGTTTATGTTGGTATGCGTGCGAGGTGTGCGCATAATGTTTGTGAGTGCGTGTATTCCTACACGTGATCGCTCAAAGTCAACAACACTTCAACCTGTTTGTGCGTGGCGATCGTATAGCTCTTAATCTGTAGATGTGTGGATGGTGATCGAACACCTGGAGTGATTTGTTTGACTCTTTCAACGTTTCCCATAACTGTTCATCTTTAGTAAAACTATGTCACAGGGGGCTCCCTTTAAACATGTGTGCATTTGTTTTAATGAGGTAGTGACTTGATTTATTATCCTGTGCAGAAACGATGTGTTAATCAATGCTTTCTCGGCAGAAATGAACCATGTTGTAACTTTTATGCTCAGAGTTGCGTGTGAGGTTTTCACTTGTTTATAAAATGAGGACACGGGAAATACACAAGCTGAGATGCTTAAAAAACAGATTCATCGAAGTCTTTATTACTAAATCATGGTTTTGTATTGGTGTGAGTGCTGTAGTGTGTTTGCCTGTGCATGTGTGTCTGTGTGTATGCTTCGATACACAGACAGCCATGTATAATGCATATTGCATACAAGAGTGATTTATTGATGACCAAGCTTTTCATATGATGGAGGTGGAAGTGAAATGCACGTGGGTCCCTGTCCTCTTCCTGCTCTCTTACATGTCAGCTGGCAGAGAACACTGTTTCAATGTCAGCTTTTAACTTTGGACAGGCTAGTGGGAGAAACTCATGCCAAATAAAATAGTATTTAATAAGATTATAGCTCCTACTAATGGAAACAGAAACAAATGTTTACTTGTCCTCTGTCCACAGTTCACTGTTTTAAAATGAATTCTCCAGTACCGGGACTGTTCCATAGTTTAGAGAGAGTATTTATTGTGAGGAGATTTGACCGTGAGAGATCTGTTCAATAACAGCGACATTTACTGAACTTTGCGCCCATGGGTGCCTGGTTTTGAATTATGCTGCTGGCAATGTTATTTGACCTCAGCATTAACAAGAAGTGAGCCATCATGGGCTTATCTTTCGAAACCAAAAGAGGAAAGGATTCAAAAGGTCAAGTGTGGATCTACTTCTAATCCAAGTTTGGAAAATGCATGCATGCAGAAAAGTGCATATTCCCTCTCGTCTGTGTTTGTGTGTGAAAATGGTGTGTGTCTGATTTGTATAGGAGGGTTATAGTCCCCATGAAGGGTCGTGTTTCATAGAAGAGAACAGGAGACAGAGATGATGAGGAGAGCAGAGGGCTGTATTGATTGGATTGAGCACAGCACCATCCATGAGGATAATAAACTTTCCCTCCTCACCTCGTCCTGCCCTGCGTCCTTCCCTCTGTCCTCACATATCTACTCTTCTCTCCCTCATTCTCTCATTTGTCTCTTTTTATCCCTCGTTTTTGAAGTGTCTTTCTTCTTGACTTTTCGCTCCGTGTCTCTCTTTGGGTTTTTATTGATATGAGTGTCACACTGTTGTTTGGCTCACGCTGCTACAAAACAAAGTCAAACGCTGAAGTTAATGTGTTTGTCAGTCGGTTTATGAGGGGTGTGAACTTTAGGCCATCGCTGTCGGTCAATCTCTCTCCTCACACACGTACAGATACGCAGTAGTGGCTTTATTCCTTGGCCGCCCTTGCTTGTGCATTAGTGGCACATGTAGAAATAATAAATATAGTGGTATAATGAGATGGAAGGACATGAGAGTCGAGGTTACATTGTCAGTTTCCCTCCAATATTCTTTATGTGCACTGATACGGCTGGCTTGGTGCACATTGTGCAACATTGTGCTTTGACTCACACATTCCACAGCTCTACAAATGCTATATTTAGATGGTGGAGCTGCAGGTACAATACAGTTTGTAAATGCAGAGAGGTGCGTCTTGCCATTCATTTGGTTTACAGATCAACTATCAGATTGTACAACTGTAAAATGTGACACATTGCATCGTGGGTTCGTAATTTCAAAGGAGTGTTTATATTTGTTGTTTCAGGGCACTATACAGTGAATAAAACCAACATGTACACACTCAAATAAAATGGTGGAGGGTTACCCAGTAGACAGGGAGTACATTTGGAGACATTGATAGTCTGACTATTAAAAATTCCGAAATAGATAAACAAAGTGCGTGTGAGGGAGATAGTTGGGCATGAGGCCTGCTGCTTTTATCAGACATCACTCAGCTCAGTGTAGGACTAATGGAGAGCAGGGTGTCCGCCTGTCCGGGGAGGGATGCAACTCTGGGTAGTGTGTGTTGTGTTTTGTTAGGAGAGCAGCACAGAGGGAGATACAGTCCCTAGCATAAGTACCCTGGGAATAGTGGGCTGGTAACCTCAGAGAGAGCGCACATATGTATCTGTGTGTGTTTGTAAGAAGGCTGGAATCCATTTGTATGTGTTTTCTGAGACAGATTTTGTGAAAACTCTGCAGTGGTCACTTGAACGGGAAACCCCTGTTACAGTGTTACATCAATTCTCCAAGCTGCTTTACTTCTAATGACATTATGTAGAGCCAGGAGCCCCCAATGGATTCCCTGCTAGAGAGAGAGAGAGGGAAAGAGAGAGAGAGCTAAGTAAAGCATAGGTTTCCTACTGCTGGGTCCCAGTTTTACACAGCGCTCCGGTACACAGTGAGCGCTAGTTCAGTACCTATTGTTTCTCTCATAGGGCTTATATGGGTCATGCACAAGCTTTTTCTTCTCACAGGCTTATTCTACGGTCAAATCTAAAAGGGTTTCATCTTCAGAGTCAGCCTGTTTATCATCTGTTGTCCACCTTGACTGCTTTATTCTCAAATTGTGCCCTTTTTTTATTGGAAGCTTAAAAAAACAACAACCTTAGAACGATTAGGCGAAACTCAAACCACTTCATTATAAATTCAAAAGATCACTTGCACATCCCGCTCATGAGTGGTGAATGTCATCATCATTTATCGCCATCATCACTGCTCATTAGTCCGAACCCGGATCACAGAAGGGAATCTAAAGCGGGACTTTGAAATGACTGCTGGGAGGGGAATGGCGGTGTTGAAATTGGATTTCAGCCTTGTGCTAAAGCCCATGGCAACAATGGGGAGGCTCGGCCCCAAAGGGAAAAGTAAACCTTGGGGAAAAGAGCCATAAGGCAGGAAGGGAGAGAAACAGCATAATATCAATATACATTTTAATAGATTCCTCTACTATATTTCTTTTTTTCTGTGCCATTTCATTCCCTCATTTCTGGTTCGGCTGAAACAAAGCCGGCACGCGTGTTGCTTCCCTCCTCCTTCCCCTCCTCCCCTCCCCTACTAGCCCATAAAAGATGGAGGTTAATGAATTTGGCGCTCATGCATGCCTGAGCTAATTACATTGGCTTTGGAAACTCCTCCCATTATTAAAAAATGTTTTCACCATCAAGATGGTCACCGGCTGGACGGCCGATCAGCGCGACTTTCAGGAGGCTGCCAAGCTTCTGTTTGTGGGAATAATGACAAATGATGAAGACGATATGGCTTTCTTATTTACTCAGTGGGAATATGGTGTATGAGATTCAGTTAGTTATCATTATCAACTGAGGAGTGTTTCTTCTAGTTGGTATGCTTTGACAGATACAGTTCAGTTCAGTACGATTGATTTAATGCCCAATATCACACATTTGCCTCAAGGGAGCTCAGCGAGATACAAAAATAATGAAGTAAATCTCTATTCTATTTTAAGGAAATCAAACCAACATTCTGGTCTGCAATGTTTCGGTCCATTTACATCCAGTATTTATCTATCATTAATACTTTCAAATCTTCTAATATTTTTCCGCCGCCCCTTTACTCACATACAATTAAAGTGAATGGAAGCCATGGGCTAATTAACATTACATTACATGTCACTTGTTAGACGCTTTTTATCCAAAGCGACTTACATACTCAATACTGTGGGCAATCCCCACAGGAGCAATTTGGGGTGAAGTGTCTCAGGGACACAACGACATGCTGACTGCAGTGGGGTTTGAACCTGTGACCCCCTGATTCCAACACCAAGGCTCTATCCACTGCGCCCACTAATAAAGTGCCATTTCTTCACAATAAAAGCCCCCACTAGCAAAAACACGTGGCTTTGATTGTGACGCAGCCACAGGAAACAAGAGATTACAGTTGTTAGCTCTGACCATAAGTTGTTGATTGATCTTGAACCCAGGTCCACAAAACGGATTAATCAAACCTAAATCTCGACTCTTCATATTATGTAGCTATTTCAGATTATTCACGCATTAAAATTCACATACGCACTATTTAACACAAGTTACTCTGTCCACTTTAATCCCCTCTCTTGTACCGAACATGGCCTGAAACGTGCAGATGTGCGACACAGCGTCCTCACTCTGCTCTATGCTGCTGCTATTGTTCTACATTAGCTTCAGTCTCTAAGGGGGAATGAGAGCGTGTTATAAGGATTGTTCTAATTATTGATCCAACACTTCAAGGGGTCCTCACCAAGGGCTACTGCTTGGGGATGATGTGTGTGTGTGTGTGTGATGGGATTTCTTAGGAAGCCTTCGTAACTGGAAACCTGTGAATGTGTGGTTTTGTTTGTCCTACCACTAGGGGAAGAACAAAATCAATGTTGTCTAGTTGTGGTTACTGGTCTGGTTCATCTCAGAGTCCATCTTCCTTTTGTTTGTACATCAGGTGTTTTACTGTGTGTTAAATCCTACATTTTGACATCCTTTTACCAGTCACATAGGCGCTGGATAATGT